CACATGATATCAAGGCAGCGTCATTACATTAGGCATATATGAAGCTGTGGGATAGAGCAAAGGAATTGACACACGGAATGATCGGAGGTTCTGTCTGGGGGTCAAAATTCGCATATCATTTCAAAATCTTCATTGCTCTGTTATCAATCCAGATTATCCTTCTAGCAAATAAACGTGTGTAATCCTCTTCATTATTAATTTGTATGAGAATGTGTTTTCATCTAACAGTCCAATCTTCCATCCCCAATTAGGTGCTTAAGCTCAAATTTTGTGCTTAAGCTCAAATTACAAATCAGCTCCATTTTGGGATGGTCATAAAGAAATTTCCTGACCAAATTCAGTCGACAGGAGGAAGCAAGCTGAATACCTTCAGCTTCTATAAAAAATATGGCAGATTTCTCATTCTTCCTACCAGGTTTCTTGATATCCTCCTTTCACTCAAACGAAGGAGGGAAAGAACACGATTTAGGTGTACTTGAGGCGTGAACACCCGCAAGGGCGGTAGCATACGATCTGTCCGAAGCCATCCCTAATAGATGAAGGTGTGGCGTTAAGAACAGTGAAGAAAGAAAAGAAGAGATCAAAATCTGAATCCAGAAAACACGGACCAGGAGCAGAATTCCCTTTGAAGAAGCCTGCGAATTCAGCTCGAGCAGAACGACGCCCTTTAGCCTACAGCAAACAGACAAGGAGCGGAAACCTCAAGCCCTGCGAAATCACAATGCCTTGTAGCCTGCAACGAACAGGACACAGCCTGCAGAAATCGCAGAAGCGGACGCGGATGTCGAGGACCCCTGCGAAATTCAGCTCTTCAGCCTGCAACCAACAGACTAGGAGCGGCTACGAATTCAGCTTGAGCAGTCAGCTTGCAGCAAACAGACGAGGAGCGGAAACCCTTTGAAGAGCCCAGCGAAATCAGCTCAAGCAGAAACGACGCCCTAACGCCTGCAGCGAGGTAAATTATCATTAAATCTTGTATAAGATTATAGATAACTATACAAATGAGGATGTAATATTTATTATAAAAAAATAATATTTTTATAGTCTGCTTGTGTGTGTATGCTTGATTATGATGAAATTGCCTCTTTATGATACTAGCGGGGGAATGCTAAGGTACTCATGCGCGTATATGGAAAAGAATATTGATATTAAAGTATCTTAAATTATATAATTTTTAGACGGCGATCTTATGACGGTTATACATATAGAATGACATTGATATGTTATTGATATAGTAAGATTCATTGATAACATCTTAAATGTTAATATTAATTTATTAAAAGTTTATCAGACATATATTTTGCTTTCTTTTTCTTTGTGTTGCTGTAGTTTATGAATATGAGTATTCATTGACTTGTTTAGCTCATTGTTAATCTAACTTTTCAGGTTAATTAAATTATTAAAAGATGAGCGATATAATGGATAATATTTATAGAAGATGTGGAAAATCAGTGACGAAATAATTTTTAATTTACCGCTTTAATTTAATTTGAATGTCTTTTTTCATTTATTAAATTTTAAAGAAATATAGAAAACTTAGTTCTCACCCTCCAGTCGTTCGTTCCCGTCTTGGTTAATTTTAAGCCTCGGGTCGGGTCGTGACAGTTTGGGAGCCCACTTTTCCTTTGTTTTTTGTCAGCATGCATCAGAACGGAGAAATCCCGAAGGGGCCGGGCTGCTCGCGGCCTAGATTGTGGTTTGGGCTAGAAATTACAAACCTATCCCGCTTAAATATGCTATGTACCCATTATGTCCCTCACCCCCTCCCTCTATTCGACTTTCGTTGTGGCTTTAGGGCAGATTTGCATTCTTCGCCCCTTCTCCCCTCCATTCATCTTCATTGTTGTCGCCTGGCGACGTCTCTCTCTGTATGTATTGTTCACCTTCCAATCTTTCTCGGTTATCCTCTGGTGGTTTGATTATGTGTGTTTTATCTCTGTCTTTCTCATATTACGTTCTTGGTTTTCCTTTTATTATGGTTTGGTGCTTTTTGTTTGAGGTTGTAAATGGTGGTGTCGATCTGGCTTCTTTTGGTGGTTTGGTTCTTGGTATTTGAGGTTGTAAATGGTGGTGTCACTTTTCGCTTTAAGGTGGTTTGGTGCTTTGGTGCTTGAGGTGGTATGTTTTTTGTTCAGTGGTACGGTGGTATGTTGCTTTTTGTTATACTTTTTTCTATCTTGTTGAGCTTCTTGGTTTTCTTCTATATTAGTGGTTTGGTGTCGATGGGGCTCCCAAGTTGGTTTTTTTTCCTCCATGTGTGATGAATTTCTTTTTGGGGCATTTACATACATACTATTCAATTCTTATGTATTTACATGTGTGATGTGTATGTGATCAATTTATTCTTATGTTGGTGGGTTGGTCTTGAGGTAGTGCGGTGCTTGAGGTGGTGTCGACAGGGGTTTCTCTCTTATGTGGACGTGTTTTCCATGGGGCCTTATTGTTACGTGGATGGGGCCCTATTGTCACGTGGAGGTGGTGCTGATGGGGCTTTCCTGCCTGTGGTTTTCCTCCCTGTGTGATGAATTTCTTTTTGGGGCATTTACATGTATACAACTCAATTCTTATGAATTTACATGTGTGATGTGCATGTGGCGAATTTATTTTTATGTTGGTTGTTTGGTGCTCGAGGTGGTGTTGTCAGTCTCGATGGGGCTTCAATGTTATTTGGAGGTGGTGTCGATGAGGCTTCCCTGTTGATAGTTCTCTTCCATGTATATGTGCATGTGATGAATTTATTTTTGGAGCATTTACATACCACTCGATTCTTATGTATTTACATATCAAACAACTAAACATTCATACTTACACGCATATCACTCAAATCTTTAACATTGAAATTTCTTAAAGCCCTTCCCTGACACGAGATACTGCATTTCTGATTTTGAGCGCAGCAGTCAAGTTATTAGGGGAGGAATGAATTCTTCAATAAAAGACACTAGTCATTACAAAGTGTTATCAAGAGAGCGTTCAGTGTATGAAAGAAGTGGATCATACTCCAAGATATGTTAAAGTATTTCTTCAAAAATAGGTAAAGATAATTGTTTCAATGACCACGCTACATAATTTTATATGGAAACAACCATCTGGAGAAGATATTGATTTCAAGGTTTTAGTGAAGAACAAACATGCATACCTGCAGGAGAT